TATAGAGTTTCCTCATTTTGTAATCGTTTAAAAAAAGTGTGTCAGGGATTTAGCGTGGAAATAATAATTTCTCGTCGTGTTCCAAAACAAATAAAATGTAAATCAAATCAATAACAATTGTGATAACGATCTTTCCGCGCGTAATGACAGTGTGCCGAGTGGCGTGCATACATCACGCGTGCCCTTCGGGGGTACGTTTGAGATAGCAGCTGATGCAATGATTTGTATTCGCTGCAGACCATTTGTTGGTACTGGAAAACGACATGCAAATTGCGTATCATTCAGCCTTCGCCTATCTCTTAGTAACTAGACAAGAAACTGGACTAAGGTTCCTAAACTTTGACCACTAAAATAATAAAAAAAAAGTTAGAAATTTTTAAACTATATTATTTATTTATTTAGTTAAAATAACACCAACGTTGCACGTGCACATTGCATTATAATATATGTAACAAACATAAAATATAATACAATATTAATACACATGCCTATTAAAGGTATTCACAGCATTTACTTTAACATAATTATACAGTGCAAGGTAATGAAGTAACAATTATAATGAATTAAATAACACTAGACTACAAATATATCTACAAAAAATGAAAATAACATGGGTTTTAGTGTAGATTTGTGACATGATACGGTAATTTATAATAGTCCTTGAGAAAATTGTAACTGATTAAATGATACGTTACACACACAAGACAGAGTGATTTAAATGAAATGTTTTATTCCGATCTACTTTAACTGGTAATAAATCGTTTATCGTAAATGCAGGCAGTCGACGTATGTCGTCATTATTATATTCTTTTCTCAAATATGCTTGGAAATGTGAGCATTATTTTGACAGTCTTCTTCGAGCTAAATCAAAATTGTCGTACTGGCCAGATACATGCGGGCAGCGGCCGGCAAATGTTGTATGAAAATCCATATCTGTCGTGTTTTGCGGCCAAATAAATTACTATGTAAACTCATATCTGTCCTGTAATTTAAACATTTGCACGTTCGTCCATCAATGCCTCAGTTGCTGACTGCTGCAGTAATGTATTATATTTCCAAAAGAGGTCAAAAAAAGGTATATATATATATATATATAAAATTTAAAAACAATATCAACAAAATCGTGTCATCAACAGTTTACAATGGTTCAGCATATTTATCTATGCATGCTTTTTGGTATATTTTCATGAATTTCGTTGTGTACATATAACAATTAATTTATATAATATCCTCGTCAACTCTGTATCGATTTAATTATTCTTTTTTACAACCAATAAGGTCTTTTCCCACATCACGCATCTATCTTGTAATATCTTGCTTAACTAATATAAATGTGGCGTCCAAGTGCCAATAATGTCAGTTTGAGAAACACTGACAATATCCGAAAATGGTATGCATTAGCCTCGGGCCACTATACATCCACTGATGGTGCTCCAGCACGATTACTCGGACAGAATGACAACACGAAACAGCTTATTAACTATGTCTGTATAGAAAACTAGTTTAAACCCGCATCTCCGTCCGCGTGACGGCGATACTACATACACTGTCGTCAAGCAATCCCTTACTGATGTGCATTTGCTGTATATTTCCTATTACCATATAGGTCCATTCATAGTAATAATAAATAATTTTTATTCAAGTAAACTTAATAATACGCATTTTTAAATCGTATTCTTTTTTTAAAATCTACCGCCCAATTCAGAATGCAATTTCAGCTGAGATGCACGGACAAGAAACTCAGCTGTTGCTTTTAAAGTTGAGTTTACAACAAAAATTACAACAGGTAATAACAAACTTCATGTTTAAAAAGAAAATTATAATCGATTATAATATTTACTAATCTATTATTTAACTACTATTGTATTTTTTTTTATGAGTGAAAATGGTATTGCTAGCAATATACCCAACCAGGAAGACCTCCTCGCGGTTCCTCCTGGAAACTATCATGGTTAATTCCTGATGAATTCACCATGATGGACTAACTGGCCTGTTTTCATTCTCATCTATCACCCTTCACTGGTGTTCCATACATTTTCACTCATAAAAAAAAAACATAAAAATATAATTATGTATGGGTACCATTTACTCCATCGTAAAGTGTAAATTATAAAATGAATGACTGATGTTAGCGCGGCGCTGTCCATGCGCTACTGTTAACATGGTATACTCGTATGACTCCATTAATATAAGTGTCACTTTCTCTGCGAGCAAACTAACAACGGCCACTATCAACACGTCAAGGTATTTTTAAATTATAGCTAATTATAAAAGAAATATAAATTAGGGTTATTTAGCGCTACAGTATTTTTTTAATGGCAAAGAAACTGATGGTTCACTTGATAGTAAGTGGAAACCTTCACCTATAGATGTGATTATCGAAGTACCATGATTATCAAAGAATACACCGGTACACTCATTCTATTTAAGCCTCTAGAGAAGCCGTAATGTACATACAGAAACTCTTGTATTTATATAACCCTGCGGCGTTGCCTGCATGAATCACTACATAAAATATCCTCTATACTAAGTTGGGATATAACCTATCCGTGTACCAAATTTTATTCAAATCCATTCAGTAGTTTTTGCGTGAAAGAGTAGGAAACATCCATCCGTTCGTCCTTACAAACTTTCGTATTTATAATTTTAATAGGATGAAATTCGGTATATATTTAGTATTTGGTGTAAAGAAGGTAATACGGATAGGTTTAACTTTATTTCAACACAATATAATGTTTTAGGCACACGGACGAAGTCAGGGAAATAATGAATATCTAGTCCTTAAGTACATCTTAAACTGTATATGCCTACGACCATGAAGTGCTACAATATAGTAAAATGATTCATGTATAAAAAATATAGGAAAATTTCATCCAAACTTATTTAACCATTCATTGATTAATCAATGAACCAAACAAACAATTTTCCAATCATCCATATCATCACTAATATTACAAATCAGAAAATTAGTTTGTTTGTTACCTCATAGCGTCTCGCTGGCTTAATCGATCACTACGAAATTTGATATATACTACATGAGATAGAGTAAGACATAGAAAAACTTTATCCCGATCAGTAAATATATCCCGGTTAATCGGTCGAAGTCGCCGGTAAAAGCTAGTTCGTTATAAGTGGGATAATTAAAACGACAACAAAATAAAAAGTGTCCTCATAATTATAAGACGAGGTGTTGTCGTGATATAAAATCTCACTATAATGGAGGTACCAGCGCGGATCATTAGAAAACATTACTAGATCGACCGACGCTCGGCACGCCACCACGCGGGTAAAGCTCACAAAACATTGAGCGCACGAACACGCAACCTGCAGGAAAAACCAAGAGACACGGATAGCTTATACGCATACGAGTATAATGTATGTGTATATGTGTGCAGATAAGAGCATTATGTAAACAGTCTCACATGAATTGTATTGTAGCAGTCTTAGCTAAATATATAAAATTTTTACTTGAGCAAGTTGTCATTTTCTTAATTTGTCTAGTAAGCAAACTTATTGCTTCAGATATTTAAAAAAAAATTATAACGTTTTTTGCGTTTTATGTATATATCGTTACAGTCGTAGAATACTGACGGATCTGACAAAGATTATATATATATATATATATATATATATATATATATATATATATATATATATATATATATATATATATATATATATATATATATATATATATATATATATATATATATGGATACCTCTGTCCCATTCGTGTTTCAACCGTGAAGCGGTTGTGTTTGCATGTCTGTGTTTCGGTTTGAAGGGTGGGATATGGCGTGAATTTACTGGGTACAGAGGAATAACACCTCAGTCCTCAGGAATGGCAACGCATGGGGGGGGTCTCATGGGCAAAACAGCATACTCTGTTATGTCCATGGTACTGCTCATGTCTATAGGCGACGGTTATTACTTTCCATCAGGTGGGCCGTCAGCTTGCTTGCCATTCTAAGTTGTATAAAAAAAAATATGTATGTAGATATGTTTTTATATATTATTAATACAGAAATTTCATCAAAATTACTTACGATGGTTTCCAGGGGGAACCGCGTGGAGGTCGACCTGATAGGGTTTATTGACAGCAATGGGGTTTAACGTCTCTATTACTAACAATCCCTTCCTTCCTGGTAGGTAGGTGTAGGAATAACCAATATAATATGTCACAATGCGAGTCACACGACCACCCGCCCGAACGTCACCTAGAGGAGTGACCTGGAGCGGGGGGCTTGCGGGCTTGCAGTCTAAACTTTAACGAGTATATTACATCTGTCCTTTATATGGCAATTTGTGAGGCAGGCCTATGAGTATGTTAATTACTTAGATTATACAGATAGAGTGTCTCCATACAAACGCTTCGAGAAAAGCTGGTCAACTTTTTCATACAATTTTGTGTGATAAATAGTTATGAATGTTTTCTTTATAACTCCTATATGTTTGTTTTGTTTTATAATTTGTACATTTTTTTAATTCGTAAAAACTTATTTTATTTAATTAAATAATTAAATATAGATACGTCAAGATACATTTTATTCGTAATAATATAGAATATTAATAAAAAAACGTGTCAGCTAATTTGACAATTAGCTAACAAATAGTTGACCCGTTTTCTAAAATCGATGCTCTACCTATATAATCTAAGGTTTTTTTTTTTGATGGGTGAAAATGGTATGGTAACACCACCTGCGCTAACGGGATACGCTGGCGGGGCACCAGTGAAGGGTGATAGATGAGAATGAAAACAGGCCCGTTAGCCCATCATGATGAATTCATTAGGAATTAACCATGATAGTTTCCCAGGGAGAACCGCGAGGAGGTCGACCTGGTTGGGTATATTGCTAGCAATGAGATTCTGTCGCCATCACTAACAATCCCTTTCCCCTCTATAATGTAAGGTTAATTAATTAACAATAAAGGGCCGAATTAATTAATATATTTATCATTTGGTATAGTTTTATTCAAATTTTCTTCTATTTTGGGGCCAGATGGCGAGTATAGAAATATCCCTGGCCGGGTCGAGGCGGCGCAGCGCCGGCGCGCGCGACATCTCCCGCGAGCTGGACGCGCTGCGAGCTGCGCTCACTGACAAAGACACACTCATACAAAAGTACGTATGTTTTATATTGACATTTGATATATAAACAGAGGGAGACTTTGTACAAAAGTCGTTTGCTTGGGCACCTCTGTCTTAATCGTGTTTCTACCGTGAAGCAGTTGTGTTTGCATGGCTGTTTGGAGGGTGGGATATGGCAGTGAATTTACAGGGTACAGAGGAATAACACCTGAGTCCTCAGGAATGGCAACGCACGGGGGGTTTCATGGGCGAAACAGTATACTCTGTTAAGTCCATGGTATTAATATGTATAGGCGACGGTTACAACTTTCCATCAGGTGGGCCGTTAGCTTGTTTGACATTCTAAGTTGCATAAAAAAAACCACAGATACGCATAAAACACGTCACAATTGTAAACACTTCGACATTATTTGATGATTTTTTTTTCATAATGCACAATCGGATATAAAAGACTGTACAGCTATTGTACGGATAGCTTGTGGAGAGTAGGTAGTAATGTTGAATTAATAAAAGAACGTTGTGGTGTGAAGTCGAAATTTTTCAATTCAATTTATTCATAACAATATTACATCATATTGAATATTTTTATGTAATAAGTTATAATAAGACATTATAAAAGAATTTTACAGTACACAGAAAAATTATAAAGTAATTATCTATCTATCCTATTTAAGAGCTGCGCTCTTGTCGGTGGAGCTCTTGCCACTCACTACGATTTTCAGCGAGTCTCTTCACCTCTTGATACGACACGACACCAACTCCTTCCTTGATCTACCTGATGTAACTATGTCTCGGTCTCCCTCTCCCCCTCCTTCCTTCTATCTTACCTTCTATTATAAAGTAATTATATAATAAATATTTTTTTTCTAAAGCTTATAAAATTAATAAAGATCATTGGGAAGGCATAGTATATACATATATACAGTGCATATTTAAGTTGCTTAATCACTCTACGTTTGAAGGAGCCGAGATCTAATGTTTTAAAATTCATCAATTGGCTACATGCACTTTTCCAATAAAAGGGTAGGTATAAAATAATTATTGAATGGCAATCAAGTTAACAGTTTACAAAGACACGGCGTTATAAACAAAGTTTTTTGGCTGTGTTTCCATATACAAAACGTATCAAATTACCAGATGCAAAATATAAATTAATGTTACTTTCTAACAAAAACCACAAAACCCCAAGTGTTAAATTTCTAAAACAAATCTTTTATGTAAGTTTTATCGACTGACGTTTCTTAGAGAAAAAATCATTTTTATTCTACTGCTAAAAGATTTCTGTACAATGACGTTATAAATTATTAACATTGTAGGATTAATAGTAGGGTTCATCTTGTAAATAAATTTAATCGATAATTAAAAAAACAATAATTATTTTACAAAAAAACAAATAAATTTTTTAAATTGTCCAAGTTAACAATACACTCTCTCTGGTCGCTGGCCCGTGCGCGGGATGCGCGCGCAGCCAACAATCACAAAGCGCCTGCGCGACCTGCGCGCGCATCTTGCGAGTGAGTCCCGTGACCAAGCGCCATGTTATAAATATATATATAACAAAATGTTTGTTTGTCTGCTTGTTTTTAAAACTCAATTATATTATAAAAGTTGATATATATAATAAACATTGATGAGTATCATCTCACCACAACATCGTTTGTTTTGTGTTGTTTTTAATCCCGTATGAATGTAGCACTCTTTCAATTAAAACACACATTTAATTACATTACTGGTGATAAAAACTAATACTTCGTTTACAAAGTTATATGTTGAAGCAAAATCCGAACACACATCCTTAGAACATTAGTCTGCTTTATTGAATAGTCGAGTAGAGATAGGATATCGCATCTTTGAGATTAGATGAATAAATGAGTATACTTTCTCTGCATTATACAATATAGGAAATAAGCAAGACAATTTACTAACACAACGATACAACTGTATAAATAGATCTTTATCAATTCTTATTGATCTGTGTTTAGCTTAAAGAAACAACTCAGCGCGTCCCTAAGCGCAGCCCGGTTGGCCGCATCAGCCACGACCCCGCCAGCATCCCGCGCCACCACCGAGGAGTACGCTGCCACGTTGTCGGCGGACGAGCGGCGGGCGTTGGAAGAACGCGCAGCCGCTATACGCAACGACCTGGAGACCAAGCGCGCCAACATACAGGACCTGAGGAAGCGACTGGATAAAACGCATGTCACCGAGTGAGTTTACTCTTGAAATCATACAGAGACAGTCGGACATCTTGTTACGTATAAATCTGTAGATATATTTTTATGCCACTGAGGTGGCACACAAGCATACGGCCCATCTGATAGTAAGCTATTACTGTAGCCTTTTGTTGCGGGTTGTAATGAAACGATGAGGTTTGTGGAAATGTATATTTCCAATGGTTCGGTTATAACTGACAAAATTAAAAAATAAAAATAATCTTATATACTATATACAAATAGGGGAAATTAATACAAAACTGGCGGGGTGATACATTGACCTAGTAGAAATGTGCAGTGCAAAATTAACGATTATTAAATGTCTTAGTAAACCAACAATTTTATTGCACTGCACGCATGAACATAGATATGGCTCCGTACCTATGAACGCCTGCAATATCATGGGCTTTACACGTGCATTGCTGACCTTGAAGGCACCTCTTTATCCCATTTTTAAAGAACTCCATGCTGTAGTCTTTCGAGAAAGCCTCGACAGGGAGCTCATTCTATAATCTGTAGATATCATTTTAAATATCTAACGGATACATTTTGACCTGCAAAAAGAAGCAGCGGCTTCAGCCGTGATCGAGATAAAATGAGACAAATGTTAAAAGAAAATGCACAAAAAGAATGACCAAATTCGCAGATATCACAGAATACACTGTAGTGTTCATAGCGATGCCATTCGTGAGGACTAAGATATTATGCTTCCGTACCGTCTAATTTCACTACAATATTCCGTTTGTAGCAACATAGACACGCGGATACAACAAGCGGAGCTGCAGTATAAGCTGGGCCGCGAAGAGCTGGAGCTGCTGACGCTGGGTGAGCAGGCGCGCGCCCTCGCACAACTCATAGAGCAGGTGGACGCGGCAGCCAAGAGGAACGACCGCGTCACACTGCACAGGTATGGCCTGCTTTATTTATACAAGGGTTGCAACCTTCAAGCATAAAGAATTTTGTTTGATAGCAAGCAGTCACTGCACACGGGGGAAATATTGGTAACATTGGTAAGCGAAATTGGACTCTAAGAAACATGAAGTTCTGAACAATGTAAAAAAGTTTTTCACTCCTCAACATAGACTCTTGCTTTATAAAACCCATATTCGCCTACATGTGGAGTACTGCTCACATTTTTGGGCAGGATCACCCAAATATCAGCTTCTTTCACTTGACACTATACAGCGTAGAGCGGTTCGAGTTGTCGACGATCCTAAAGCGAATGATGTTAAGAGAGAATAATATTTGTAGAATGTATAATGTAAACGTTTATTAATACAGTAATAATAGTAATATAATAGTAAAGAAGGAGAACAATAGAAAATATAAAAAAGGTATAATATTAAGACGATATGTGTGCCGTGGCGCCAACAACAACATTCCTTTCATATACGCATGCGCGGCCTGCGCGCGCAACCCGTAGTCGCCGAGCGCCTGCGCGTCCTGCGCGCGCATAGGTACATCAAACAAGCTGCGTGCGCGACCGACCGTATTACATATATATATAAAATATTTACGCTTGCTGCGTGTTTTTACAAAATAAATAAAATATATAATTTTATAAGTATGCTACAATCCTATGCTAACGGATGGTTTAGATTTCCTGAGTTTGAAATGAAATCTTGCCTTTTTATTCATTTCCTATCATCATCACCTATTTCCCATTGTACCTTTTGCCATAGAGCTGGAGTACACCCTCATTTCTTGGGTGCATGGCATACGACTACTATCTATGCATCCCGTTTATTTATACCTTGTACCAACCATCTAGGTTTTCCCATATTATATTGTAAACAATATAATATGGGGAATTTCATAAAAAGTACTTACAAATATTTAAAAGGTCGGTGAAGCACAGATCAAGTTCCATGCTATCCACTTGGGTATTTTGAACGACATACTGTGAATTTCTAACAATAGGCTAACTGACCTGACTCGATGCTCACCTATCACCACTCTTTGGTATTTCACTAGCGTCTATCGATAGTACAAGCGAGGTTATCGTTCCTATTTTTGTTGTGATAGTAATTTCACTAACATTTTTTAATCTTGAAATTTAAATAAGTTCAATTTCATACATGGATTTGTACTTCATTCCGACTTACCTTGATTTAATAAATGTAAAACAATGATAAGAAGATTAGAAAAAAATTAGGTCTTGATAGTGTATTTAAAAAACTCTTGCAAAGAGTTAAGCTCGCCTATTGTTGGTACATCAAGTATGTTCGGAATTCTTACTAATATTTATTTATTTAAACTTTAATGCACAATTATATAATATAAGTACATGCGGGGAGAAAGGGATTGTTATTAATGGAGACTGAGAATCCCATTGCTAGCAATATACCCAACCAAGCCGACCTTCACGCGGTTCCCCTTGGAAACTATCATGGTTAATTCCTGATGAATTCATCATGATGGGCTAACTGGCCTGTTTTCATTCTCATCTATCACCCTTCACTGGTGCTCCGCCAGCGTATCCCGTTAGCGCAGGCGGGGTTACCATACCATTTCCACCCATCAAAAAAAAAAAAAAAATATAAGTACATGTACATATGGCGGACTTAACACCTAATGGCGTTCTCTACCAATCAACCACGAGGCAAGCAGAAAATTAAGTTGGCAGTGATTTACTACTAAAATATGTATAAATATTGTTAGTACATCCATAAATATATATTATATAATAGAAAAATACATTAACTTACTAACAGGTTAAATTATAACAAAATGAACCTTATGTTGTCTGAATAAATAAATACGAGTATTATTATATTGTTATTAAAGAAGTAATAATTTTTTATCCTTTCGTGTGTGTGCCACAATAACACAGTTAATTTAAAGTGTATTTCCTTCTTAAAAACAACCTATTAACATTCTGTTTGTAATTCGAGAACTACGAGATTAGAGGCGATTTACAACTGATTATGTCTCTCTAAAAGGAGCGATCCATTGTCTTACAAGACTTCCGTATTCCACGCGTTGTCTTGAGAAATAGCTTAGCACCGAGCCGCCAGTGATATGCCTCCTTATTGCCACTCAAAAGCAGTAAGAGCTAGCACAATAATATCAACTATAACCATTTGTTTAACAGATTAGCATTGCAATACTGTTAGGTATTTAATAAATTTGTTGACACGGTTTGTATGAAATAAAATGTTTGAAAAAACGTAAGAAAAAGTAAAAAATTTAGGTTAAAAACCTTCATTTAATAAATTAACTAAGATAGAAGACAGATGGGAGATCTTCTAAAACATTGACAGAGTTGACAGATAAACAGATTGTTTAGTTTTATTTCTTCATTAGTATACCCGTGTAAAACCGGGACACGTAGCTAGTTTTTAATAAATAATAATAACATCTAAGACTGTGTTACACAAAAAGAAAAAAAACTAATTTCCATTGTAGCAAAGCCAGTTATTTTGGTTCAAAAAGTGAACTCTACTGAACCTAAAAATTTCTGTAAATTCAATCTATAATTCTTTCAGATAAAAAAGATTTTTCTAAATCTAAGGTCCTAACATGAAATATTTTCCGAAATTTCGGAGCCAAATGAAACAGAAATTGGATATTAAAATTACATAATATATGCCGTTTGGAAATATTAAAAATGTTAAAATATTGTTCCTTTGGACTTTTATGATTTTATGATAGGATGTATGCCGAACGAAATGTCAAACTCCATTTATTGGTCCGATTTTGGTATAAACAAAAACACGAAATTGAGTCCGAAATTTCGGAATTTCATTTCATGGTAGACCACCTGATTACAACTGACGGAGATATGAGGTAAACGAACGTAAAAAAATACATTGAGAATCACCTTCTTTATGAAGTTGATTGAAAATAATTCAGAACTACCAGCGTCGCTAGCACACTAGGCTGTTGATACTCCTTATTTTTCTTATAACCGATTTATAATAGATAGATAGATAGATAGATAATTTATTTACATTACTTACAGCACACAAATTACAATAAAAAAAAATACACATAATACACAGTAAAAGAGATAAAAGAATGAAAATAAAAAAGCACAAATAAAAAAAAAAAACAAAAAAAGCAAAATATATAAACTAACAATCTCCTTTCTTTCCCTTCCTTCATGCGTGTGCCATAGTAACACAAAATGGTCACAACTCAGTTTATTGCTTTGCCCTTAAAAGAGCTAAACACTGATAATAATGTATCGTACCACAATCCAATTATCCGCATGTGCAGAAAATATAACAATGTATGCAAGGAGCTTGATATTTTCCATCAATCCTTGCAATGTTACATTAAGGCTGCCAATTTGTTACTTTAAATCTATAGCCGTCATTCTTTAAATGTATATAATATCGAATGTTACGCAGAGCAGTTATTGGAGTGCAAATTTAATGCTGTTTTATGTAATATTTATTTTACTAATTTATTAATTTGTAATCTGTTGCCTTGCTGTAAATAAATTAATTAATAAAGTTAGTGTTGAAACAATGTGAAATATATTGTTTTAATTTTTAATATATAATGGCGGCGCGTTAAGCTGTTGACATCTCTTGCGCGTTCACGAGTTCACAAACAATCAGAGCCGTGTAAACTGTGGCGAGGTGCGGCGCGGCGGACGCGCGCTCGATTTAATAGCTTATTTAAACAGAAAGCCGTTAAGATCGCAGATAATGGCGCACAAATCGTCGGTAATTGTTACAATTGTTACACCATCGGCATTGTTCGGGGGGCGGTCCCGGCCGGCTTACTTTCTAGCAGGCTAACGCTAAATCTCTGGGAACGATCAGGGAAACCGCATCCGTAGAAAGTGTTGACGCCCAGCGCCTGTCAATTCGCGAGTTGTAATAGACTTTCATTGTATTAGTACTAAATGTAACACGTATTTTTATGTGAACCTCGACAGAGTATGTTGAAGATTTCACGTTGGTGCGATACGAACAATAGACATTAGGTGTCTATTGTTCGTATCGCACCAACGTGAAATCTTACTACAAATATATCATTTTCAAAATTGGTATTTCTATGCATGCACACTTGGTATCTTAAGTTTGTTAACCGAATGATTAATTGACGTAATGTTGAAATAGTTAAGTACAATAACTTGTACTTACCCATCAATGAATTTGCATGTTTTAGAATATAAGGCATACATTTGTACTTCACAATAAATCAAGATCTGTAAAAACAATAATTTGGCAATTAAATGTATCTGTTTATCTAATAATAAGTAAGTATATAAAAAAATATGAATATTTTATACATTTTTTTTATACAACTTAGAATGACAAACAAGCTGACGGCCCACCTGATGAAAAGTGGTAACTGTCGCCTATAGACATGAGCAGTACGATTTGAATTAAATTTGGTACACGGATAGGTTATATCCCAACTTAGTAAAGTGGATACTTTATGTAATGATTCACGCAGGCAACGCCGCAGGCTACAGATTACATAAATACAAGTGTTTCTGTATTTTTTTATACAACTTAGAATGGCAAACAAGCTGACGGCCTATCTGATGGAAAGTGGTAACCGTCGCCTATACACATGAGCAGTACCATGGACATAACAGAGTATACTGTTTCTCCCATGATACCCCCATGCGCTGCCATTCCAGAGGACTCAGATGTTATTCCTCTGTACCCAGTAAATTCACGCCATATCCCACCCTTCAAACCGAAACACAACCATGCAAACACAACTGCTTCACGGTAGAAACACGAATGGGATAGAGGTACGCAAGCAATCGACTTTTGTACAAAGTCTCATTTACTAGTAGTTACCACGTTTGGCAGACGGGTTGGCAATCACAGTTACACTTTGGTGATAATCTATTTATTTATTTATTTCTTCTTCCATGATGTGGTTAGCAGATAACATTTTAACATCAATAATGGACCCTGTTGGGCGCAGCAAGTA